TATCCCTTAACTCATAGTTACTAGCATAGAGTAAAAATACTGAACTATCCCTTAATCATAGTTACAGCATAGAGAAAAATCCGAACTATCCCTTAATCATAGTTACAGCATAGAGAAAAATCCGAACTATCCCTTAATCATAGTTACAGCATAGAGAAAAATCCGAACTATCCCTTAATCATAGTTACAGCATAGAGAAAAATCCGAACTATCCCTTAATCATAGTTACAGCAGAAAGAAAAACCTGACTATCCCTTAGTCATAGCTACAGCAGAAAGAAAAACCTGACTATCCCTTAGTCATAGCTACAACATACATGAAAAATCCGAACATTCCACAATCATACCTATAAACATACAGTAAAAATCCGAACATTCCACAATCATTACTATAAAACATACATGAAAAATCCGAACATTCCACAATCATACCTATAAAACATACAGTAAAAATCCGAACATTCCACAATCACACCTATAAAACATACAAAACCCTCGTTATCCCATAATCATAACTATCTCTTATCCACAGCTTGAATTTAGATAACTCCGATTAGGATGGGTGTCTAATTATTACTGAACAATTTGGTTATGGATTTATAGTTCTTGTTACTTGTCTAATGGGTAGAGGTTAGGCGTCTCACAAGGGTGGTTTTTAACAACAAATTAATTGCTACTATTAGGAGTGATTACCATACCCACAACTACCTGCAGACAGTGGTAGGTGTTGTGGGTTACAGCACTTAACACCTAACCTTTAAATGATCTTCCGTTATTCACTTGTGTTTTTGGATTATGTATGGTACATAGAGTATTCACAACACTTTAGGTGTTATTACCACAGATATTGCTCTTTAAAAATTATACTTTTTTAATTCAATTACAAATGGTATGACTCTTTTTATATGTAGTTGTATATTAGTTTGTTGGTTATGAAATTGTGAAAAGTTTATATGATTGAAATTTGTTATGAGTAATGGTTTTATTTTATTTTTAATTTCACACTAGGCATCTTTGTTTTGGTTTACATACACACAAACGAAGAAGAGTGGTGTAACGAGATTACTGATATACCTAAATCACGCGAAATACAGAGAAAGTTAGAGTTATAGCTTCTCATAATCTAACATGAAGGATAAGCTTATAATAATCTAACATTAAGGATAAGCTTATAATAATCTAACATTAAGGATAAGCTTATAATAATCTAACATTAAGGATAAGCTTATAATAATCTAACATTAAGGATAAGCTTATAATAATCTAACATTAAGGATAAGCTTATAATAATTTAACATTAAGGATAAGCTTATAATAATCTAACATTAAGGATAAGCTTATAATAATCAAACATTAAGGATAAGCTTCTCGTCATCTAATATTAAGGATAAGCTTCTCATAATTTAACTAACGATAAGCTTCACATAATTTAACTACGATAAGCTTCTCATAATTTAACTAATGATAAGCTCTCATAACTTAACTAACGATAAGCTTCTTATAACTTAACTAACGATAAGCTTATACTAATCTAACATTAAGGCTAAGCTTTTCGCAATCTAATATTAAGGATAAGTTTCTCATAAACTAACACTAAGAATAAGCTCCTCATAATCTGACATTAAGGGTAAGTTTTTCACAGTCTAACATGAAGGATAAGCTTTTCATACGCTAACGTTAAGAAAAAGGTTATCAAAATCTAACATTATAGATAAGCTCCTCCCAGCGTATCATAATATTAAAAAACAAACAAACTAGGAACCTGTTGATCTACCTAGACTGTGATATCCACTAAATTATATCAGCAAAGAAAAAAAAACACGACCCTTATTATTCAACTTAGCGAACCCATGGGCCTAGGCCCACATTTGTAGGACCCACTATAACTAAAAGTTAATGATTGAACTACTATTTTGCACTTTTTTAATTTTAATGATCACTGCCGCTATAATGCAAGTTTAATTACGAACGGTAATTAGTAGGCCTATTTATTCACGTACTCTAATGTAATTCAATGCCAAATTTGAGGTCTGCTTTCAGAGAATCCTCGTGAAAAGTTTTACCTTTGTGAAACCTCGGGGCCGAGATGATTCGTTTGGCACCATTTAGAAGTCGGTGAGTCCAGCAGTTTAGGAAAAGGGTTTTCGGGAAATCCCCGGGTTCCCCCAAGGGATGGGGTGAAGAATAAGGTGATATCAAAGAGCGGAGAGCGATTTGGGTACAAAGGGACAAGAACCATGGAGCCTCGGATTCACAGTCCGGCAAGTTAAAAGAAACTTAACAAGATCTAATTTGATTGTGTGTTTCAGTTACAGAAGATTGAATCACACAAAACTTTTGCTTTTACATCAAGTTTAATTATAGTATTTTGGCACTCGTGTATAAAGTTAAAATAATAAATAATATTCCACGTTAAACTGGTACACAATTTAAAAACATTTTATTTAGGCCTATCTATGGCCTTCAAAAAGTTGACGACTACATGTTTCGACGTTAAAACGTCATCCTCAGGACAAAACCTTTGAATGGTTTAGCTTGAGTGTATGAAAAATAACATACAGGTCAATGACCTACCATCCTCAGGAGTGAATTACAAGACAATTGCCAAAGTATTTATAACTTGTTAGGCCTATCTATGGCCTTCAAAAAGTTGACGACTCTACATGTTTCGACGTTACAACGTAAATAAAATGTTTTTAATTGTGTAACAGTTTAACATTGAATATTATTTATGTTTTTAATAAATTAACACTTGAATGAAGTATAGATTAGACTCTTAATAAATGGTATATAGTAAGCGTGAGTTTATAAATACGTCAAACTGTAAAGAAACGTTGACAGAGTATATACGATGTTTAGATAGAAGACATAATTATTAAAAGTACGCGTACTTATTATTTAGAGAAGAAAATACAACTGTTATTATTGTAAGAAATAAAAGCGACGTGGAAAAACTACAAGAGAGAGAGAGGAGAGTGAATAATTCAATTAATGATAATTTGGAAACAGGTGTACGTGATATTCGAAGCAGGAGATCGTTACGAGCACGTTAGGAGGGGAGCACGGACAGAGTCTTTGTAGTTGGAGCCTTTATTACATATAGTAAGATAATAAAGAGGGGGTGGGTGGGGTGAGTGAGTGCTAACAACTCAGGATACTACAAGATTAGGTCAACACACGGAGAGGAGGGGTGAAAACTAGATTGGCAGAATATTGAATCGGGCTGGGATACTATATTGGTATAATATCATTCCACCCAAGACCTCACTGCTGGATGTGCAAGGCTAACTTAATACGTAGAAGATTCTCTGCGCACTGCAAGATTCGCGGAACCCTCGAGGGCATTCGAGTGGATCTAATAGCGACCATACAGACAAGTACCTCGCTCGAGGCTTACGCAACGCTCCGTGTAGAGATGTGTAGATATTCTACAAATGTTGAAGATGAAAGTGCGAAATCAACTTCAAATCACGTCACAAACTCAAAGAAGGAAGTCCAGTTGAAAGAAATGCAATATACGTGGGCGTATGTTATACATTAATTATCCTGATGGCT